CACCGCCTCTGTAACTTACTGCATAGGGTGCAAGGTGACCGTTGTCGGTTTACATGTACTCCAGTTATTACGTCGTGCATGCACTGAGTCTGTGCTGTACTGTGCATCCATAGGTGTCCGTTTGCGGTAGCGCAAGGTGACACGCAAGGTTGATGTACTGTGTTGTCCGCTGCTATTCGAAGCTCTCGGAGTCGGAAGCGTTACCTCTGTTTCCCCTGTTCCTCCCTGCGCGGAGTCTGTAGTTCTGGCTTGCAGTCACTGTTACATGCATGTTGGCAGTTGCATGTGTTTTGGTTTTCAGTTGTCTTTATTTGTTTTGTGTGGATGACAGGCAGTTGTTGCACTTCCTACATTCCGTAGTTATCTGCGGTTGGTGTTCGAGAGAGCAAACTGTGTTCTTCTCCAGAGTGGAGTAAACCATTCGCTTGTGTCTGAGGAAAACCCTGTGTGTTGACGAAGTGGGTTGACTTGACTGTAGAGTGAAAGTACCACATGGTCTCATGGCTCAGAACACACTTTTCGTCTAGTTGGCATATCAGGGATATAGGGCGGAGCAGCCCATATCCCCAATTATGACACGCGAGTAATAGTGAAATACGATTGGCGTATTGTGCTGGACTGACTGCGGTAATGTAAAGCTAAAATCAAGCAGTCAGTTTGCCCTTAGCATGGCCTTGTCATGAGGGTGCCACATCCGTGGAAAGGCAACATGCCGGCTAATCTCCCTGAGAAGTTTTTTTATTTTTTTTACTATTGAACACTCACTGCATGATGAACTAAAATGAGGAGAAGAACTCGACACAATGGTACATATCCAGCAGGACGGAGTGGTAGGGACCTGTGAAGCTCAGCCGACCAAGGGTCTCGGCATCACAGCTGCACATGTGCACCAAAGGAAACAAAATGGGGAGTGGAAGGGCGGGGAGGGGAGCAGGAGAGCAAGAACTCTAAGGGTAGGAAAGAGAGGGGGGGGGGGGGGGGTAGGAAACCAGGAAACTTGTTATTCCAAGATATGAGTGCAAACAAGTACGCAAACAAGTACAAATATAGCAGTATCAAGATCATGATGCTGAGGCGAAAGTAGAGCCTGATTGCCGTGCAGATTTGACGAAAGATTAGAGTTAGAATGGAGGAGAGTTAGAGAGAGATAAAGACAGATGGATTGGGAGTTTGATGAGAAGGGAGTGCTCCGAGAACATGAACAGGGTCGTACTGGCAGTAGCCTAGGGGGCGATGTCCGTGGCCAATGACCAACCCGACCGTTTCAGGTAGAGGTAGGTCTGAACCTTGGACTGCTGCATCCCTTTGGCAGACGGTGCATCGCGGAGGAGAGTGGCTGGCAGTTCATTCCAGGCTTCGATGAGGCACTCCGGGAAAGAGCGCAGCGCAACATTGCACGATCTGGCAGGTAGGGCTGTCTGGAGTTGAAGCTCGTGCGCAAGGTTGGCTGGCGAGCGGCGACGTGTGGCAGGCGCGATGGCGGGTGCGATGGCTCTGGCTAGGTGTGTCGCTGCAAGAGCTGGCGGGCTTGCGATGTAATGGAGCTTGTACAGAGTTGTGAGGCCGGCCACACGGCGCCTCAGGGACAGAGTGTCCATTGCAGCCCCTGTCCCAATCAGGGTGAGGGCACGATGCTGGACTCGGTCCAGCTGTGAGAGATGGGTAGCCGCAGCTCCCATCCATACAAGTGGACAGTACTCCATTAGAGGCCGAATGAACCCCCGGTATGCTGTGGCCCGGCCCGGTGGGTCCAGGACATGGCACGCCTTCCGGAAGAAACCAATTCGCTGTGTGGCACGCACTGCAGTTCCTCGAAGATGCTCCGAGTATGTTAGATGGGCATCAAACGTCACTCCAAGGAGCTTCAGCCGCGAGCATTCCGGGACCGCTGTGCCGTTGAACTTGATGGGTGGTGTCTCCCAGGGTCTGCGGTGGCGGGACACAGTCATGGCCTGTGATTTCGTTGACTCAAAAGTGACGCGCCACTGAGCACCCCATTCAGCAAGTGCATCCACACCAGCTTGGAGGTTGCGGCACACTTCTGTCACAGCATGTGGCGTTGGGATGTGGGCATAAAGCGTGGTGTCATCTGCGTAAACAGCCGGAGTGATCCCTTCCGGTAGGACGTCGCAGGCGTCATTCACGTACAGCAAAAACAGTGTGGGCCCAAGGATGCTCCCTTGTGGGACCCCAGCATCAATCTTGTATGGTTCTGAAGATGCTCCGCCGACTACTGCCTGCAACTTCCTGTCATACAGGTAGTCAGACAGCCAGTTGAGGAGGGGACCAGTGATGCCATATGACGCAGCCTTGTGGAGCACGCATCGGTGTGAAACTTTGCCGAATGCTCCTGCTATGTCGACAGCCAGCACGCGGACTGCGCCACCACGGTTGACTTCGGAGACCCAGGAGTGGTTGAGAGACGTGAGAAGGTCAGATGTGCTGAGCCCCTGCCGGAATCCGTACTGGTGGATGGACAGAGCCTTTTCATGCTCAAGATGATTGATTATGGCAGTGTTGACAATCTTCTCCATGACTTTGGAGACAACAGATAACAAGGACACAGGTCGGTAGTTCTTAACAGCAGACTGAGATTGCTTCTTGTGTATCGGGACCACATGGGCTACTTTCCAGGGAGAGGGCTGGACATGACACCGAAAACAGAGTGAGAACAGCTTGGCAAGTGGTGCAGCCAAAACTTTTGAGCACTGCTTCAGAACTCTGGCAGGGATGCCATCGGGTCCGGTAGCCTTGGTTGGATCCAGCTGGCGGAGCTGGCGCTGGACTGTCGCTTCCCGAAATCGGACAGTTGTCAGGGCAGATGTACACCTAGGAGGAAGGTCAGGAAGGTCGGAGTGCTGTAGATCTTGATCACCCAGACTGCATTTGCTCGCAAAGAATTCTCCAAAGCAAGTAGCCTTTTCCTGGTTGGTGACATATTCTCTGCCCTGGGCATTGCGTAGGACAGGGATAGACGAGCTGCGGCCAGAGCCTGCAGCTTGCTTCAGGAGTGACCACCATTGCTTGTTTCGCAGTGATCCATGTCTGAGCCGATCTCGGATGCGGGCAGATTCTGCCTGCTTTGTGAGACGAAGGCAATTGGCAGAGGCTCGGACTTTGGCATTGTAGTCAATGAGTTGCTGGTGGCAGGTGGGGTGTCTCCTGAGACGGTTCCATGCATTCTTCTTTGCCTGGGTAGCGGCTGAGCATTCCGGCGTCCACCAGGATGGATCTGTTGGTTTCGTCGAAAGTTCTTTGTGTGGAATGAAGCGATTCATGCCTTCCATGACAACAGCGGTTACTGATCTGCACGACGCATCGGGGTCTTCTGATATATCCCAGTTTGCTGTTGAGTAGAAGTGCCGAAGCCGGCCCCAGTCTGCCTGAGCATACCTCCAAACGCGCCGTTTAGTCGGTGGTTCGCGGAGTGGTGTGGCATCAAAAGTGGCCACAACGGTGGCATGGTCTGATGCTCCAATGGGGTCCAGTACATTTACCACCACTGAGGTTTCCGAGAAGTCGCTGAGTATGAGGTCCAGGGTGTTCTCACCACGTGTCGGTTGAGTAACGTGCTGGTGGAGCCCGTGGAACGCAGAGAGTTCTTCCATGTATTCACCAGCCGGTGTAGTCTTCGTGCTGCATAGCCAGCTTTCATTAGAACATTTAAATCCCCGGCTATCACGACGCTGTTCCCGAGGGATCGAGCTTGATCCATGACTGAGTCAAGATACTCAAGCAGAGAGACATCTTGTCCAGGGCACGACCCGGGTCGGTACACTGCACATACAACTACTTTCTGGCCATTGTCCAGGTGCAGGCGAAGCCAGATGACCTCATGGCCATGGCAGTTGATGTCACTCAGGTGGTCAAAGGAGAGGGAGTCCCGGACCCAGACTGCAACTCCGTCACCTTGAGCAGATCGGTCAAGTCCGAGGGGTGGGTGGAAGCCCGGCATGGAGGAGTCAGATAGTGAGGCTTTCTCCGGGGTGAATTTAGTCTCTGTTACGATGGCGATGTCAGATCTGCTCCGTGCAACAGCATGCTGGAAGGCTCCAAACTTTGACAGCAGCCCAAAAGCATTTGTCAGCAGGAGCTTCATTACTGGGTATGTCCTTGCGCAGCTGGTGTTCATTGGTGTTTGTGTGACTGAATCGCTCCAGCTGAGGCAGCCTCTTCCTCACTGTCCCTATTGCCTCTGCTGTCCACGTTGCCGGCGCCAGCTGCACCAGATGAGCTGTCACCATGCGGCCGTTTGCGGTGTCGCCAGGCTCGAGCGTAAAGCGGTCGTGGCCAGAAGTTCGCAGCAGTGACTGTTTCTAATCCAGTGGCGTCGAGCGTCAATCGGGCTGAGACTTTCCCGTCTTCCGTGGTGTGCATGCTGCACTCATGGACTTTGACGGATTTGGCCACGGCCACAGATCGCTGCTGAGTGAACTCTGTCACTCGTTCCTCTGTGCAATCCGCGTGCAGATTTCCCACATACACGACTGCCTTCCTTGTTTGGTGGGGTTCTTTGGATACTAGTTTCCACGATTCATCAGCGACGACGATTCATCAGCAGTTGTTCAGCCGGAGGAGAGGTAACACTTGCCGTTGCAATGGCGGATTCCTTCATGGCGACTGTAATGTTCCTGAGTGAACATCAAGTTAGTTCCCGCACTCCATAGATCAACTTCACTCCACAAGTCCCAGACAACAACTAAAGTTTATTTACATAGAACAACGAAAGATAAAGATGCACAACCAGGATCCATATATGTACACAGTACGGGAATGCATATGGGTAACCGATCCCGGAACGGATCGGGTACAACAACGGGACCACAACATCTCCCTTTTTATGTTCGAAGAGAGAGAGGTTACAGAGGTAACAGCTCGAAGAATATTTAGTCATATACAAACAGAGGAGATAGGGTAGAGACACACAAATACTACATGCAGTTCACGATCATCAGTGTCAGCGACTGGAGTGATCATAGCATGAGCAATGACTAATGCGTTTACAGGTCGAGTCTGTTCAGCGGCCGGGATGGACGTGCTGATCGGCGCAAGGTAGGCTGGAACTCGACATCAGCGGATGGAGGTTCTGCAGGTGTAGTGACATTCAACTGCGGTGTTGGTGTTGGTTGCACATCAGGTAGCAACTTGACGTGGCGACGGTTGCGGCGGTACTCGGACAGGTTGTCGGTCGTGACAATATAGGATCTGTCGGAGACGCGGTCTGCAATCACGGCTTCGGAAGCGAGATCTTGCACCCAGACTCGGTCGCCTTGGGTCAATGGTGGCAGAGATTGTGCTCGGTGTGACGAGTCGTACGTCTCACTCTGTCGGTCTTTCTGCCTCACCTCGAACTTCCTTAGCTTGGAAATATCAGGCCAACTTGGAGCGAGGGATTCCGCTGTACATGGGAGGTGTGTGCGTAGACGACGACCAAACAAGAGCTCGGCTGGCGAGTAGCCATTTGCGAGGGGTGTTGACCTGTAGTTGAGTAAGGCATCGTTGAGGCTGTTGTTGGTCTTCAGGAGACGCTTGAATGTTCGAACCGCTCGCTCAGCTTCACCGTTGCTCTGTGGGTAGTGCGGGCTACTGGTGCGGTGGGTGAGCTGCATTTGGGCTGTGAATGCGGCGAATTCAGCACTTGCGAACTGTGGACCGTTGTCCGACACAAGGACTTGAGGGATGCCATGGATGGCGAACAGCTCGTGGAGTTCCTTGATGACGGCTCCAGAGGTAGTCTTCCGTAGCGGGATGGCGTGAATGTACCTGGAGAAGTAGTCGACAGCAATGAGGTACTCCTGACCGTCATGTTGGCAAAGGTCGACTCCTATTCTCTCCCATGGCAAAGAGGGAAACGCAGTTGGAGACAGAGGCTCTGGCGGCTGAAAACGATGCTTGGTGCAGGTCAGGCAGTTCTGCACGCATTCTGAAATGGCACGTGTGATACCTGGCCACCAGACGGAGGACTTCGCACGGGCCAGGCACTTGGTTATGCCTTGGTGGCCGTCATGCAAAGTGGCAAGTGTAGCTTTGCGCTCGGATGCCGGGACTACGATCCGAAATCCGTGGTACAGCAGACCGTCGTGAACTGAGAGCGAGCCACGTTCGTTGCGGTAGGCTTCCAGGTCTGCGTTGACCTTGGTCGGCCAGCCATGGAGGGTATGCTGGATTACTTGTTGCAGGACTGGATCGTCAGCAGTGGCTGTAACGAGAGCGTGTTGCTTGGTAGGACTGCATAGAGACGACAGGAACATTACAGCGACAACCTCCTCTTTCAGTCCTGTTATCTGCATGACCAGTTCGTCAATCCTGTTTTTGAGACGGACCTCCCGGTTTGCAGATTCCGACACGAGCGCTGACAGCGTCTTGACCATTTCAAAGACGGACGATTCAATTTCAGGGATGGAGCTCAAAAGTTTTATTTCCGATTCCGTCAGGCTGCGAGTGGCAGTTCTGGTCGGCATAGCTACCTGTGTCTACCTACTAGTACTACCTAGACTATCTACTACTCACCACTCTTCTCTTCTACCCTGTAACTACCTCCAGACCGGCCTGGTGCCGGCTGGGCTGATAAATCGCACGAAAAACTACGGAGCTCGAAAAAGTCTAACTGTACTCTTCAGCTCCTACCTACTTGTTGAGTGGTTATCAGCAGGCGATGAAGCTGTGTCGATGATGACCTGTTGATGCCCGACAGGAACCTTGCGAGGAGAGTCATTGGGCCCGACGGATAGGTAAAGCCAACTTCCACATGAAGTTTGCGGATGGCCGACATGTAGACATGAACAGATCGGGGCTGAAAAGTTCTGAACAACTCGGCAGCAAAATAACACAAAAAGTAAAAAGTCATCACCTGGCAATGGATTCCAGGCATGCCCTTGACAGAACTGGAAGTAACGGGTATCGGTGGAAAAATATTTCCGGCTGGTGCCAGTGCTGCTAGCTGCAGCACGGAGTCCGTCAACTGAGAGTTAGCAAGACTGGCTGATCTGGCTCAGCTGCTGCTTCCGGAGCCCTCGATGTTTCAAACACCATCGGCGCAGGCCACGTTTTTTGGCACCGACGATTTGTTCGTCCACCAAAAGTCTAAACAAATGTTTCTCACTTGAACACTCCGTAGAGCTGCCGCTGTTGTGCCAAGGCCCATTGGCGCATGGTGTGTATACTCCAAATCTACATGTATGACGATGGGTCACTGCTGACGTTTCTGCTCTTGGACAGTGCAACGCCGCATGAAGATAATATGTTGTGGCTCCACAATAGCTGAGAACGCTAGTGTGCGTCCATGGAATACTAAAACACAATAGGCGCGGCGCAGCTAACGCCCACTTGTATTGGATGAATCGGAGTGGTGGCGAGTGCATTCTCCTTCCTCGGTGAACACTGCTGGTCACCCTGTTTGATGATCCACCAAACACCATCGGTCCAGGCCGCGTTTTTCGGAACCAGCCATTTTTTCGTCCACCAACAATTGAAATTAATGTTTCTCACTTGAACACTCTGTAGAGCTGTCGCTGTCGTGACAAGGCCGTGTATACTCCAAATCTACATGTAGGACGAAGAGTAACAGTTACTGCTGATAATGAAGTTTGCGCTCGTGGACAATACAACGCTGTGTGAAGTAAATTGTGGCTCCACAATCGCTCTGAATGCTAATGTGTGTCCATCGAATACTAAAACACAATAGGCGCGGTGCAGCTAACGCCCAACGTGGATGAAACGGACAACAGCAGCGGCTAGAGCGTTCTCCTTCCTCGGTGAACACTGCTACAACAAGACATTATGCTTGATGATTCACCAAACACCATCGTTGGGGGCCAAGTTTTCCGGCACCAGCGAGTTGTTCGTCCACCAACTAACGTTGAGTCTTTCTTCAACACTTCGTAGAGCAGCCGCGCAAGGCCTTTTCTTCGCGTTAGGGTAGCGATCCTTCCTAGAAGATATCGCTATCCATAGTTACTTTATTACTACAACGAAAAGTGTTTCTCCGAAAATAAAGTCAGCTGCCTAGCTAGGCCTAGCGCCTGGACTTGTAAAAATTAATTTTGCAAGTCTTCAATCATGTTTGCATGTACGCGCTATCCGGCCATGTGGCGTGAACAGATTGCTTGACGTGAAAGGTAGCGCGAGTCGTACGTACGCGCTCGCGGACGTGTCTGACACGTGAAACGAAAAGATTTTTTTTGGCGGGTAGTCTCGCGTGAGACTCGGCTGGAAGCCGAGTTTTCTGCATCCGCCGTGGGACCGCCACCACCCTCTATAGCGAGTATAGGATCAAAGGCGCAGATGCAGCGCTTTACTACTACCGGTAGTACATGTACTAGCTTTAGTCCTTCGCTTTTGTTTGGCGAAGGACTAAAGCCAAAAGGGTACCGTCACTTAATTTTTGCCGACTACCCCTCAAAAAAATCTTTTCGTTTCACGTGTCAGACACGTCCGCGAGCGCGTACGATCGACTCGCGCGCGCCCGCGCTACCTTTCACGTCAGGCAATCTGTTCACGCCACATGGCTGCATAGCGCGTACATGCAAACATGATTGAAGACTTGCAAAATCAATTTTTTTCCAAGTCCAGGCGCTAGGCCTAGGCAGCACTAATCAGTCTAATGCCTAATGCCCAGGCAGCTGACTTTATTTTCGGAGAAACACTACTCATTGTAGTAAAAAGTAACAATGAATAGCGATAATTATCATCTAGGAAGGATCGCTACCCTAACGCGAAGGAAAGGCCTTGCGCGGCTGCTCTACGAAGTGTTGAAGAAAGACTCATCAAAGTTTAATAGTTGGTGGACGAACAACTCGCTGGCGCCGGAAAACTTGGCCCCCAACGATGGTGTTTGGTGAATCATCAAGCATAATGTCTTGTAGCAGTGTTCACCGAGGAAGGAGAACGCTCTAGCCGCTGCTGTTGTCCGTTTCATCCACGTTGGGCGTTAGCTGCACCGCGCCTATTGTGTTTTAGTATTCCATGGACACACATTAGCATTCAGAGCGATTGTGGAGCCACAATTTACTTCACACAGCGTTGTATTGTCCACGAGCGCAAACTTCATTATCAGCAGTAACTGTTACTCTTCATCCTACATGTAGACTTGGAGTATACACGGCCTTGTCACGACAGCGACAGCTCTACAGAGTGTTCAAGTGAGAAACATTAATTTCAATTGTTGGTGGACGAATAAATGGCTGGTTCCGAAAAACGCGGCCTGCACCGACGGTGTTTGGTGGATCATCAAACAGGGTGACCAGCAGTGTTCACCGAGGAAGGAGAATGCACTCGCCACCACTCCGAGTCATCCAAGTGGGCGTTAGCTGCGCCGCGCCTATTGTGTTTTAGTATTCCATGGACGCACACTAGCGTTCTCAGCGATTGTGGAGCCACAACATATCTTCATGCGGCGTTGCACTGTCCAAGAGCAGAAACGTCAGCAGTGACCCATCATCATACATGTAGGTTTGGAGTATACACACCATGCGCCAATGGGCCTTGGCACAACAGCGGCAGCTCTACGAAGTGTTCAAGTGAGAAACATTTGTTTCGACTTTTGGTGGACGAACAAATCGTCGGTGCCGAAAAACGTGGCCTGCGCCGATGGTGTTTGAACCATTGAGGGCTCCGGAAGCAGCAGCTGAGCCAGATCAGCCAGTCTTGCCAACTCTCAGTTGCCGGACTCCGTGCTGCAGCTAGCAGCACTGGCACCAGCCGGAAATATTTTTCCGCCGATACCCGTTACTTCCAGTTCTGTCAAGGGCATGACTGGAATCCATTGCCAGGTGATGACTTTTTACTTTATGTGTTATTTTGCTGCCGAGTTGTTCAGAACTTTTCAGCCCCGATCTGTCCATGTCTACATGTCGGCCATCCGCGAACTTCATGTGGAAGTTGGCTTTACCTACCCGTCAGGCCCAATGACTCTCCTCGCAAGGTTCCTGTCGGGCATCAACAGGTCATCATCGACACAGCGTTATCGCCTGCTGATAACCACTCAACTTCTCAGGGAGATTAGCCGGCATGTTGCCTTTCCACGGATGTGGCACCCTCATGACAAGGCCATGCTAAGGGCAAACTGACTGCTTTATATAAGCTTTACATTACCGCAGTCAGTCCAGCACAATACGCCAATCGTATTTCACTATTACTCGCGTGTCATAATTGGGGATATGGGCTGCTCCGCCCTATATCCCTGATATGCCAACTAGACGAAAAGTGTGTTCTGAGCCTGTATCGCGTATAATAGGCTCATCGTAAAAAAAATAATAAGTCTTTAAAAATCAGGGTTCACGTGACACTCGGGCTCCAGCCAAGTTTTCCGAATCCGCAGGAACGCTACCCCCCTCTTGAATCATAGCATAGTGGACTCTGCAATGAACAGATTATGAAACTCCCTGCAGATTTACTACGGTCATTTCTGGTGACTGGTCTTGGGGCACCGTGGAAGCTGTGACTGGTTGCCAAGTTTTGTTTTGTGACTGATCATGGGGCATTTGTGACTACTTCGAAGCACAGCTCTGATTGATCACAGAGTCTTACTGTTGTGAATATTTATATCGATTGAGAAGTCAAGCAGCCACGGGGCGCTGGCCTTGCAGCTGTGAGTATGCATACGGTACATATTCACATGACTCTATTGTATGCTGGACACTGCTGGTCCATTGTTGCAGTGTGTAAGTGAACTGCAGAACCTATTCCGTGATGAAACACCTACTCCTGAAAGACTGAATGTTTGAGCTAATAGTCTTTTACTTCACTCTCATGCTGCTCATATAATTATACCATACGCCAGAAGACCCTAAGTTACAAGTAGTTCTAAGATTTTGTGGACCATGTGACCATGTGGTACTTTCACTCTACAGCCAAGTCAACCTCTTCGTCAACACACAGGGTTTTCCTCAGACACAAGCGAATGGTTTACTCCACTCTGGAGAAGAACACAGTTTGCTCTCTCAAACACCAACCGCAGATAACTACGGAATGTACTTCAGAAGTAGGAAGTGCAACAACTGCTAGAATATTGAACTGTCGTCCACACAAAACAAATGAAGACAACTGAAAACCAAACACACATGCAACTGCCAACATGCATGTAACAGCAACTGCAAGCCAGAACTACAGACTCCGCGCAGGGAGGAACAGGGGAAACAGAGCTAACGCTTCCGACTCCGAGAGCTTCGAATAGCAGCGGACAAAACAATCCATCAACCTTGCGTGTCACCTTGCGCTACCGCAAACGAACACCTATGGATGCACAGTGCAGCACAGACTCAGTGCATGCCTGTGTAATAACTGGAGTACATGTAAACCGACAACGGTCACCTTGCACCCTATGCAGTAAGTTACATAGGCGGTGCCAACAAAAGAGCAGGGTTCGTGTATCGTGCACACTCCAATGGCACAGCAGAAAATGTTCTCACCAACAGCCACTGCTAGCTGTTTTGTCATCTTGCTGTGCCAAATGATGCTGTAT